ATTAGTCTAAATGCTAATGTCGCCAATACCCACAATCTTCGAATAGCTAGAATTCTTCATTCGAACAGTGCCAAAATCTCCAGCGTTGTACGAGCTGAAGAGTCCTCTGTGGGAAGTGGCGTAATAGGATGCAGCTGTGTCTATCACCCATTCTGTGTAGCTGTAGTCAGCCACGTGAAGGCAATCTTCCTCTTTACCAACTGCAAGAAGTATTTCATCAGTTGTTGTAATTGTTGTGTTCTCATCTCCTTTTGACTTACTGCTTTGGCGTTTCTCTTTCTGGTTTGGGCAGTTTCTCTTTATGTAACCCTCTTGGCCACAGTGAAAGCAAGTGAAGCTGGAGTTACCTTGACCTTTGTTGTCTCTGGATTTACTCCTGTTGTTCCAGCTGCCTCTACTCTTGCTTCTTCCTCTACCTCTTCCTTTACCTCTATCTCTGCCTCTATCTTCTGTGACAAGAGCATGGGACTGATTATGGGACTGATTACCTCCCATGTCTTTCCTTCTTGTTTCTTCATTGTACATGGCGTCTGTGACCATACTCATGGTCAGTTTCCCTTCTGGTGCAGAGGTGCTGAGAGAAACCACCAATGTCTCCCAGCTATCCGATAAAGAATTGAGTAGTAGTACGGCTTGTATTTCATCGTCCAAGCGCATCTTGATGGTTGCAAGCTGATTCACCAGATTTTTAAATTCACTGGTGTGCTCGGCGATAGACACACCATTCTTCAACTTCAGATTTACCAACCTTCTCATCACCAAGGCTTTGTTTCGGGCGGTCTTTGACTGGTACATGTCGTTTAACATTGAGCATAGGCATCTGTCTCTTCGGCAACATGATGGAACACACAGTGGTCTATCCATTGTCTGATACAAGCGATAGTCTTGCGGTTCATCTTTATCCAGTCATCATCTTTCACTCCTTCAGGTTTAACCCCCTTTATAAAAATGGGATCAAACAAATCTTTCAAAAACAGGATGTCTTCCATCCGTGACTTCCAAATTGCGTAATTGGAAGGAGTTAACTTGAATATAGATTCTGAAGTTGATGTGGAATCCTCCATCATATACTGTCTTTTTACAGAAAACTTCGAATGAAAATAATGACCGTACGGATGTGTCCGGAATACTCCAAATAATCGAAAAACACTATTGGATCGTCAAAAACGAACTCAGAATGGCTTTGATCAAGCCAAAACAGTTTTGACGGTTCAGATCTGCAGAATCTGGTGTGCCTGGAAAGCACCGGATGATTTCCCCGGATCGGCTCAGTCAACGACTCGGTCAACGGTTGGTCAACGCGGCTCTGGTCAACGGAGCGGCTCAGCGACTCGGCGTCGACTCGGTCAGCGGCTTGGTCAACTCTGATGACGTGTCAGCCACGTGGCACACGTGGCGCTGACGTGAGAGGACGTAGCAATGGCGTGGCTGCCACGCGGTCGTCTTCTTCCTTAAGCTGCGCGTGGGGCGCGTGCGTGCGAGTGGAGCGACGCTCCGTCTGCTGTTCAGCGTGTGGAGGCGCGTGGAAATAGTGGGTTTCACGCGCAATCTTTGGGGAGCGCGTGAGAGCGCGTGCAAGATCTTCTGGGGCTGTGCTTTGCAGTTCTGGAATCCTCTCTTGGAGTTCTTGCTCCTGGTATGCTCAAAAGCTGATTTCGAGCAACTTGATTTCTGGGCAGTTTCGAAAAACACACTGTTTTTGTTTCGAAACACGACCGATTCGGCTCTGATACCACTTGTTAGGACTATGGGACACCAAAAATCAATTCCACACAATAACACAAGAATATTTACATGGTTCGACAATTACCTATGTCCACAGAGAGGTATCCACTATAGAATTATTCCGAAGAGAGATTACAGAGCTCACACCTCACAACTCTCTATAGAACTCTCACTCACAGATTATACTCTCCTCTGTGTATTCTCAGCTCAATGTGTCACTCCCATATGTCTCTCTACAACCCCTCCTCACTCATGTCAATTTATAACGGAGTGAAGAGAAGTAGGTGAAGTGACAACCATGAGTGGGCTTGGTTGTGCCACCTTCACCATCTACCTTCACCAGCTTTCTTTACCACATGGTGCCACCCATACCATGTGGATGGTGGGCTCCTTACCATGTGGGTAGTGGGTGGAGCCAACAGCAAACCCCAATGGTCATCCCCCTCAACAGCCACAACCATCACCTCTATCATCCCACCATAACTCATTCTCAACAGCTTGCTGAACCACCAAAACCTTTCTGCTTCCATTGCTAAAACCCATTAATCAAACGTCTAAGCAACTAAAAGAGTCTACTAAAAACATGACTTGTTGCTAATCAGCCACCCATTGTGAGAGGATTGGCAACTATAGTGGTAGGTGGTGGAAGGGAACAAAGCACCAATCAATCATTAAAGATTGTAATGGCGATGATGGTTCCCACACTTTTAGGGCAACAAGTTCATGTGGTTAAGGTAGAAGTGACACTTACGTCAACACCGCAAATGTTGACAATACAGATGGGCAAACAATTCACCAATGCATCACTATAAATAGGTGATCTCAATTTGAGTGTGAACAAAGGGAAACTATATGAACTATTCAGCTAGATGGCACAAGGGAAGAGTTTTTGGAAAATGAAGGGGGGGAGTGTTAAGGGAAAGGGTGGCATTGGCAGCACTGAAGCTGAAAAGAGGGTGGTTGTGATGAATTAAATAGAGAAAGAATGGTGTATAAGGGTGGCTGTGAATTGGATGGAGGAAGCGGTGTAGTGTTGGTGGCACTAGAGGGGGGCATTGTAGTGGTGCTGACAGTAGAGTTGTTAAGAGAGAGAGAGAGAGAGAGAGAGAGAGAGAGAGATTGATGATTGATGATTGAGGAGATGAGATGAGATGAAAGCCAAGCCAATAATAAGCTCTAATGGTATAGTAAAGGTCAATTTAAGTAATTCTCTAACGGTTGGGGATGCTGATGTAATTACGTGAAAAGTGTGGAATTGTAAATTCTTCATACCTTAAGGGAGGTGGTTGTAATTTACAGTAAAAATAAGAGAGAGAGAGAGAGAGAGAGAGAGAGAGAGATTGATGATTGATGATTGAGGAGATGAGATGAGATGAAAGCCAAGCCAATAATAAGTTCTAATGGTATAGTAAAGGTCAATTTAAGTAATTCTCTAACGGTTGGGGGTGCTGATGTAATTACGTGAAAAGTGTGGAATTGTAAATTCTTCATACCTTAAGGGAGGTGGTTGTAATTTACAGTAAAAATAAAAAAGGTATACAAAATTGTAACAATTATAGACATATCAAGTTGAAGAGTTATACAATGAAATGGTGGGAGAGAACGATTGAGCATTGCCTAAGAGTTGCAACAGTAGTGTCAAAGAATAAATTTGGTTTTATGTCCAATAAATCAACTATGGAAGTGATATATATACTAATAATATTAAGGGTAAATTACACTTACACTCCTTGAGATTTGGGTTTAATACATATCACCCCCTAACGTTTGGGAAATTACACTAACCCCCTTGTCATTGTAATTATTTAGACGGAATGAAGACATTAAATTCATATACTCTCTCTTTTCTTGTTTTGCTTTACTTCCTCTATTTTTTTTTCCCCTTTCCTTTGCCTTACTTTTTTTTTCAATGTAATTTGTTTTGTGAAATGAGACTGTTAACCACAGGGGTGGGAATGTAATTTCTAAAACGTCAGGGGGTGAGATGTAATTGGATCAAACCTCAGAAGGTGTCAATGAAATTTACTCTAATATTAATAGGGAACTACAAAGAAAAGAGAGAGACCTTTATATAATTTTTACAGATTTAGAAAAATCTTAAGGTAGGGTACCTATAAATATAATGGCAAGTATTAGATAAAAAAAATGACGTAACCAAAGGATATATTGATACGATAAAAGATATTTATAATGGGTTGTGACTATAATTAGATAACTTTTGTAGAAATTACTGAATTTCTAATCACTATAGGATTGCATCAAGGGGTCAACTTCACATTCAAGATGATGTCCATGATGTATGTTGTCCTTAGATGAAATTATTCTAATGAATGAATCTAACGAAAAAAATTAACACTAAAATAGAGAAGCACTCGAGTAAAAAAGGTATAAAATTTATATAACTAAAATTAAACAAAGAGGGCAACACTTTCATTTCTTACGTACAATTATTAATGAGGATAGAAAGGTTGGAAATGATGTGATCCATAAATCAAAGTTCGTTGATTTAAGTGAAATAGTGCTTTGGGCATACTATATGATCAACGAATATCAACAAAACTGTCTAGAAATTTTTACAGAACTATAAAGCCAGCAATGTTTTACCTAAGAATCAATACGTTTATAAATGCATATAGTTGAGATAAGGATGCTTAGATGGATGCATGGTAGGACTGGGAAAGACAAATTTATCCTTGAAACGATAAAAAGCAGCACTAATTGAAGATAAGTTGATAAAGAACAGGTTGAGATAGTTTGGTTATGTATAATAAAGACCTTTAAATGCAACAAAGACATGTAGAAAAAGTTATATGATCACCATAAATGAAAACATTATGGGGAAGGGAATACATAACAAACATATGATGCGTTTGTAAAATATATATTTATATATACAAGAATTTATTAATTTAATTGCGCACATAGCTCTTGACAAAGCAGGATGCTGAAACATGACTCATGTAGCTGATCACACTAGATTGGGACACAAGCTTCGTTTGGTTTGGTTTCATTTTTTTTCTTATTAGCAAAAACACCATTTTTATCTCAATTTACTTTGAGGAGTACAATGAAAATGCTCATTTTTATCTTTGATTGATTTTCCACTTTTCTAAAGTAAATAGATCTTCTCTAACTTATAAAAAGTATTATGAAAATTCATCGTATCTACCAAGCTGCACTAATACTACATATCTGATATGTTCAAAAACAAACATGTGGGTAAAAATAGTACTGCTCATCACATTGGATAACATAGTTTCCTTTGTTTATCATAGGGGGAATACAAGAATGACATGATCGGGCTCGAGTTTGATCCTCTACAACCAGGAGATCCAAAACTGAAGGGCGAGGTTATCATCAATACTGTGCTTGGCATTTCGTTGGACCATTCCAAGTGGTGGGATTTAACTGTCGTTATAGTCATTCTTATAGTTTATAGACTTCTCTTCTTCACCATTCTCAAGTTCAAGGAGAGAGCTTCACCAGTGTTTCGAACAATTTATACCAAGAGAACTCTGCATCATCTCAGTAAGAGGCCTTCATTCAGGAAGACACCACATTTTCCTTCACAAAGGCACCAAATTATGCATTCATTATCTTCTCAAGAGGGTCTCAACTCCCCAATCCACTAGAAGTAAGCATTAGATTTTTTTTTCTTTATGATTAAAGATTTTCGTAGAGCGACTCTTGTTTTATGTTTTTGAAACTTATTATTTGATGTAACTACTACCGAAAGCAAAAGTGACTCGCCTAGCTGGCTGACTACCAAGTGTCCCTAGATTAATCATACCATTAGTTTGTAAACCTCTCCCCCATCCTTTTGAAATACTTACAAATGTGGTGTATTTGCATATTGCGAGGGGCTCAAGAAAGAGAAGCGATTCTATTTTGCACTTAATTTCACAACTTAATGTTACTCTCAACTCAACCAATTTCATTGTTATTATCAATGCGCTATACCAAGCATGAGCTTGTTCACAAGCCAAACTAAATTTTGTTCAGGATAGATACTCAGGATAAAATATGCTCTTTTCTTTCATTGTAAATCCAAATAGCTAGGAACACATACCTACATGTTTGTGCAATTAATTCTCATTCCACATTGGATTTTATATATTTCATTTGATTTCCTCAAAAAGAGTTGTTTCTAGGTAATTTTCCTAAAGCACAGGTATCATTACTACCGCAATGATAAAAGCTTAAGATACATAATGAGGCCAAAAGTTCAAGTCTAATGGTAGCTAGTTTGCACAAATATTGCCGAAATTAGGTTTCTGCCTGGTCCACCCCTCCCAATACCTCAACTAACAAAGTAGGGTCTTAACTGTTCTCAATCATCTCTAAACTGCCATAGAAGCCCCCAACAAGTCAAGGTACCTCATACCTAAGCACTACCCCGACCATGCCTTGGTCGAAATCTTGCTCCCGTTCCTTTCACTACTAGGAATTGAGTCTACTTGAGATGATTCTTCGCCGCAGCCTCATCATTGATTCCAAGGAAGTCTCCACACCAATCTCCGATGGCTCATAACACCTCTTCATCCCATAGATGTCTCAACAAACCCATAAACCTGACCCACACATCTCTAGATCCAAATCGTTGTCGATAACAACCCCCTAATGGACACCTCTAGTCTAGATAAAGAGGTTGCCTTCCCACTAACGAAACCTTCGATAAAACTCTTTATGCTTCCTCCTAGAAATAAACTAGTAAGATCAACTTACATCTAGGACCTCGGCCCCTCTGTATTCCACATCCTATCTTCCATGTTTTACGCGAGAACCATCTTTTTAGATGATTTTTCCCTTTTCAGAAGAAAATTCTCATAATTTATGCTACATTCCATAACTGTATTATATCCATAAGTGAACTTTTTGAATTTCAAAAGTTTCCAAATTTTGGTGGTTGGATTTCAAAAGATTTTCAAATTTTTGTGGTAGTGGTGGCGGTGGCAAGGGTGGTCAAGGAGGTGGCCACGGCGGTTGCATTTGATAGTGGTGGCATAGTGTTTAGTTGTGGTGTTGGTGTTGGTGTTGGTGAAATTACTCCATTGAAAATTCAAACCATATTTGTTTGTCCAATTGGAATTTTTTTTTTTTTTTTTAGAGCAAAAAAAAAAAATCTCAAGATTTCACGTATTTTTCAATTTAAACCCCAGGGTTTTAATTAAAACCCTAATGTTATTTCTATGTCACAATTTACCCCCTCCACCCATCTCTGTTCATCTTCTTCCTTCAACCGCACACAATTTTTATATTCAAACCCACCTGTTGAAGTCCTTGTATCTTCCTTGTTGTAACTCCGTTTCGCCTCATTTTTGCGTCATTGGATTCACCTCATGGCTTAGTTTTCATTACATTCCCCATACACCTTATTTCACCTCTTTTTGTGTGCCATTGGAGTTCCAAAAGTTGACAAAAAATAAGATTTTTCTTTCCGTTTCCGATTTTCTTCGAGCCATCTTTCAGACTCTATAACTTTCTCGGTTCTTACAATCTCTTCACCTCACTTCCTATTTTGTCCTACACTATCTTGCTTTCTTGCTCCTCCCCGAAATGGGTTGTTTCAATATGTCGAAAGTAGCACAAAAACTAACTTTGAGAATTCCAAAAACTTATCTCTTTCTTTTCTTTCTCCATCTTCCTTCTTCATCTTCACCTATAACATGTTGTGAATGGTGGTTCTAGGTTTTTGACAAAGCTAGGCGATAGCGATGGTGATATCTATAGAATGACAAAATGATGTTCAAAATAACAGTGAGGCTTTTGTTCACAAGTCACAAAATGGGACGCTCTCCAACATACTAAGCTTGAGTAATATTTTTCTTGATTATTAGAAAAGAAAATGGTACACATAGAATTTTTAAATAGAAAACTCATCTAGAATGATGAGGTAGTTGTATTTTTTAATCATGAGCCACAAAGATGGGTGTTTTTGGCTTCAAATGAAAAGATTACAAAAAAACATATAAAAATCTATCAGAGAAAAGAGTATAAAGAACAAACAATGAACAAACCAAAATGAAACCCAAAAAAAACAATGAACAAACCAAAATGAAACCCAGAGCAAAGAGTTACCTACAATGTTGTTCCTAAGAACATATTAAATGCAAATCAAAAAGAATTGGTCGATGTATATCACTACCTAATTTTAGACTATGATATTGGGTGTAAAAAACGTAGAAAATTCATTGGATACCCTCCCAGAATGACGAAGTTCCATCTGCAAAAATGCATGTAACTCCATCACCATATTCTGGAGCAACCCAAACAACTTTCACAATGCTCACTTCATGAACCTATAAGAAGACCAACCACCATGTAAGCTTTATCATCACCACCTCTCAACCTCACGTCCCCCATCGAACTCCATCACCACTACTTATAACCCTTGCCATCACCATCTCCGTAATCACCTCCTTTAATTGTGAGCTTTGATGATTTTAGAGAATACCAAGATTAAGGAATGATTTGGATATCATCCCCTATTTATATTAATGAAGATCAATAATTACAAGGGGGCCCTAAGGCATAGAATAATTACAAAATAATAATCCAAATGACAATATTTATTCTAACACTCACCGTCAAGCTGGTGCGAAGATATCTTTCATGACCAACTTGCCTAAGATGCCATGAAAGGGCTTACTCCCAACCCCCTTGGTGAGGATGTCAGCAAGTTGTTCACCAGACTACACAAAGGGAGTACATATTGTGCCACTAGTGAGTTTCTCCTTAATGAAGTGGTGATCAATCTCAACATGCTTTGTCCTGTCATGTTGAACCAGATTGTGAGCAATATTGATAGCGACCTTATTATCACAATATAACCGCATGGAGTCCGTCTGATCAATACCTAGATCACTCAACAAAAACTTGATCCATAAGAGCTCACACACCCCTTGTGCCATAGCTCTAAACTCAGCTTCTGCACTTGACCTGGCAACCACATTCTGTTTCTTACTCCTCTAAGTTGCCTCCAACAAAGATGCAATACCCTGAAGTCGATCTCCTATCAATTACTGATCCAGCCCAATCAGCATCTGTATAGGCTTCCATATGAAGATGATCATATTTTGAAAAATAAAGACCCTTACCATGAACAGATTTCAAGTACCTCAAAATTCTCATTACAGTCTCGAAGTGAATCTGATGAGGAGCATGTATAAACTAGCTAACCACACTGACAGCAACAGCAATATCAGAACGAGAGTGAGATAGGTAAATGAGTTTATCCACTAATTGCTAATAGCTCCCCCTATCAACAGTTGTTCCTCCTTCATCATCCCCCAGTTTCTGATTGGGTTCCAGTGAAGTATCACAAGCCTTGCAGACAAGCATTCCAATTTCCTTCAACAGGTCTAGCACATAGTTCCTCTGTGAGATAAATATCCCATCCTTGGAGCGAGCAACTTCAATTCCCAAGGTTTAAATTGAAAAACACGCAAAACCCTTAAAAAAAATTATAATCTACCCTTTTTTTCATGTATTTTTTCTCATCGGTTTGGGTTCATTCTTTTTGCCAAAAAAGCATTTTGGCTCTCAATTTTGCTTTTAGCAATGAATTTTTTTCATTAAAAAAATGGATGTTGTAGTTTCTAAAAGATAAACTTCTATATTACACATTTCTGTGATGATGGTTGTTTAAATTTGTATAATCAATTGCACAAACCATATTCAATTGCACAAACAATTTATATGGTTAATTGATTGAAGGGTAATTAGTTATGTTATTTGAACATATAAATTTATATTGATTGGAAAATTATGTTATTTGAACTAATAAATTTATATTGATTGGAAAATTTAAACTATTTATTTTTTGGGAATTGAATAGATTAAACTAGTAGACCAAGAATAAATTGTGTTGCCTAGACAGACAAATTTATATTTGTGTATTATTGCTGTAATTTTATATGTATGTCTTAATTGAAATTGATTACAAAAATTTATTTGTGCAACTGATTAAAGAAATATCTGTGCAATTGAATAGAGAAACTATTATGTTTATTTGTTGTGAATTTGAACAAAATTGAACTAATAAGAGAAATTAATGTGTTGCTTAAGTAGATAAATATATCTGTATGTGCATTATTAACGTAAATTTATTTGAGTTTCAATAAGCATTAATGTATTATATTCTCAATTCACATAAATTTATCTGATTGAGAATACTAACAGCTAATTGAAATTTACTTAAATTTATGTGATAAATTTCTAAAATCAATTCCATAGATATATTTTGAGATTATATCTAATTATCTGATTGAGATTATATCTAATTGAGAATCGATATATGAAATTTATCTTAATAAAAATCAGATAAATTTATCTAAATGGAATTTATCAATTCATCAAAGATACAGGATTTATATGTCAAGACATATAGAAGGAATAGATTCTTAATTCTTTTCTCAAAACATAATAATAATAATATAGTAGTAGAAGAAGAAGAAGAAGAAGTTATTAATAATAATAATAAAATAGAAGAAAAAGAGGAATTTATCAATTCATCAAAGATACAAGATTTATATATAAACACATAGAAGGAATAGATTCTTAATTCTTTTCTGAAAACATAATAATAATAATAATTGAGAGGGTAATTTTTGGGAAAAATTGGGCCGAGCTGAGAGTTGGGCATTAAGGCCCAAAACGCGTAGGACTGCGTAAAAAGGCCGTACTGAATACTCCAACCTAGAGGGCAAAGTTACTCCGGCCTTGGGAAGACAAAGCTACTTCGGCCCAAGGAGGCAAAATTACTCCGGCTCAAGAAGAGATCGTTACTTCAGCCCGAGATAGAGTAAAATTACTCCGGTCTGGAGGCAATTCACAGTTAGGCCGGTCTCAGAGTTAGTCCGGTCGCAGTATGTTCTGAGAAGGTCGGTGTCAGAATTAGTCCGGTCG